TCTTTCCCTCTTGGAGAAGGCTGATTCAGTTACGCCTGAGCACTTGGGGAGCATTGCCTCAGATGCCTCCTGAAGCCCTGATGCCCGTGGCAGTGCCGGTGTCAACCTGCCTTCTGTCTGATTGGCCATGAGGAGCCTGGCCAGATGGCTGCTGGGTCCTGGTGGCTTGGGAAGTGAGAACTCCACCTCCTGGGCCTGGCTGGCCCCTACTCTGTGGGCGCCAGCTTTTGGTTGGGAGATCCCAGGAGCTTGGATCTGTCCTCTGAGGTTTCTGGGACCGGGTTGAAGGGAAGGACTTTGACAGGGTGTTTTGTCATTTGGTTCTTCACGGCTCTCAGCCCTCCTGGCAGTCGCAGGGCCAGGGGCTGAGGGGTGAGGATGGGATGGCTTCTGTGGGGGTTGGGGGCAGAGGCAGAAGGCTGTTCTGTGGTGTGGTGGCTGGGTCCTGGGTTTGCAGACCGAGGAGGGTGGAGACCAAAGGCAGGAGGAGGTCTACCTGGAGCAGGCCTTGCATCTGCAGAAGCTCCTGGGGCTCTGCCTGACTTATGCGAGGTCCCACCTCTCATGCCTCGAGTGGGACATGTCCCCTCTGGTTGGAACAATTTGTTCCCCTCCAGTCTCCTCTCCACTGACCTTCCTCTGGCTCTTCCATCCCAGTCACAGTGGCCCCTGCAGCTCCTTACAGGTACCATGAGTGTTTTTCCTCAGGGCTTCCTTCTGGCTCTGCCTTTTGCCTAGAACACTGTTCCCTCTCTGTCCCCTTGGCTAAATCTCTTCACTTTCTTCAAGTACGTGCTCAAACAAACAAAGCAAAACCCAACCACTGTGTTCAATTCTGCAAACAAATCCCTCTTACCTGTCCCTTTTGTCTTTTTTCTCCCAGCACTTATTAACTTTATAACGTACTGTTCTACTGTGCATATTTATTAGGTTTATTTTTAATGTCTATTTTATTTATTAGGTTTACATTCTCTACTGAAATGTAAGCTCCCTGAGGACAAGGATCTTTGTTCCGGTCACTACTAGAAGAACATCTGGTACATAGTAGGGTCATCAAATAAATGAATATGTCTGGGGAGAATTGGGGTAGTCGTTAACCCCACGTCATGGGGCAACAGAGAATCTGTTGGGTATTGGCTGGGAACAGGCTTTCCAATAAATGAGGATCCAGTGTTTTTCAGGTTCGCGCTCAAAGGCTGAGGACCCATCACCAGGGAAGAGAGTGCTGGAGGAGAGGTCTTTTGGGAATGGATATGTGACATAGGCCGATGCCATTGGCTGGTTGAATCAGCTGCTCAAATGGTGAGGTCTGCCATATTGGGCATCCAAAACTATTGTGAGCTGAGCCACAGGTAGCTTGTTAGTGGCAGTAGCTAATCGGCTGACATGGATAGTAGCTTTCTTGTGTGAAAGGGAGGGGATGGTGTTACAACTACATACTGGAAGGTGGTATGGCCATCGTGAATCCCAACCTTGCTGTAGCCTGTAGCCTGCTGGCATGTCCATGCAAATGAATGACATATATTCAGGATCAGAAAGAAATATCTTGCCCCTGGGTCATACCTTATGTGTAACCTTCTCTGGGGTCAAAATGCAGCATGGGAGAGCCATGGAGTTTGGTGGGCATCAGAGGGCAGGTCCCCAAATGGCTTATGACTCAAACTTTTTTGCTGCATCCAACACAGGTGACCTTCCTTGTCCCCCCCGCCTGGTCATTCTTTCCCAGACCTCCGTCATCCAAGGCCCTTGGTACTACATAGGCCCGGAAGTCTCGGAACCTGAACAAGCTGCTGTTCAGCGTTGCTAATTGTTCTCATACACAACCCCAGTTATTTTGAAAGGGGTATCATATAATCAGAAGGGGGTGCACCTGTGATCAAGAGGGGGTGTGCATGTGATCAAAATGGGGTGCTCATGTGCTTGGCATGCATGTCTGTGACAGCACATGGTCTTGATCACAGCCTTAGAGTTAAATGTTTCTGCCTTTCATTGTGATTAAGCTGGACAGGTTCTTAATTTTTCCTCTTGGTTCATAACTTTACACCTTGGCACATGTTTATTCTGATATGTTGACGTTAGGGTTTGTACATCAATTATGTCACCCAACTCTTCTTCTCTGTTCCACATTAAATCTAGTTGCAAAATTGTAATAGAAGGATCCATTTTTAGGCCCTTTTCCTCTGGAGTCTAAAGTGTAGGGTGTCCATGCAGGGGCACCAGGTACGGAGGGCCTCAGCAGCTGAAACATTTTCTATTGTCTCCAAAACTTGGGCAGTGGGGCCTCCAGCCTCAACCAACTCGGAATTGTGGAAAAATCTAGAGCCAGGTGCGCTTTTGTAGCCAGATGACTTACCCAAAGGTGTCTTCCTCCTCTACACTCCCACACTGTTTCTTCACTCAAAACCAAGCCAAGCTCAGGCGGTCGGCTGAGCCTGGACGGAGTCCAGGCCTGGTGCTGGAACCAAGGGACCCAGTACGATCAGTGCTCAAGCATGGGCTCTCGGTGCCCCTGTGGGGTCATGACCCTCAGGCAAAGAGCCCTCTAGACTCCCTGTCACTGACTTCTAAATTTGTCACCAAACCAAATTCGTTTGGCCCTCTGCACAGCAACCCAGAGGCCGAGGCCAAAGGTTGACCTAATCTTTGCAATCAAGAGGGACTTTGCAGTGATTAAAGAGCCATTTCCTGCTCATGTGTTGACATTAGCAGCTTGCAAGTCATATAGAAGGAGCTGACAGGCACAGCCCTGGGAGAGTGGTTGGTCCTGGCGGTGGCAGAGTCCGGGCAGGGGTGGGGGGGGGGGGGGGGGGTGGGGGGGGGAGGGGGCGGGGGGGGGGGGGGGGGGGGGGTGAGAGTTGGAGGGGTGTCTACACCAAACGTGCAACTCTCTTGTGAGACCATCTTAGTACTTTCCTCTGTGGTGTGTGTACACTTGGGGGATTGTTCACTGTCACGGTCAATGTTGGCGGCAGGGCAGGCTTGAGTTTGAGTGGAGATAGGTGTCCTGTGTGAGCTATGGTTACCTTCCAGTTATTTCCAAAGCTTCAAAACACTGGAGGAGGAAGGCCAGAGAATGCCCCATGACTAGAGAATGGAGTATACACTTCACGGGGTCCCCCTTCTTACAGAAGGATGAAGAGGGCCCATGGAAGGTCAGGCCTCAGCTGGAAACAGAAAACTTGGGGAGAAAATGGATGTGAATTAGGATGCTTTCAGATGCAAGTGATAAAAATCTAACCCAAAATATCTTAAACAAAGCAGGGAATTTATTATTGATTGAAGGCCCTAGGGTAGAGGTCTGGCTCACATGGCATCATTGGGGCTCTATTCACTCAAGTCCTTGGCTCTGTGCCTTGCTGCTGCTGGCTTTGTTTTATACATGGCTTCCCCCTGGGATGCAGAAGATGACTGCTGACAGCCTTAGACTCATGTGTTCCCCACTTGGCACCAACACTGGATCAAAGCGACTTCTATGTCCCAGTTTATTTTGAGAAGACATGAGACTAGCGCTGTGTGGTCATTTGCCAGTGGGCTGGGCCAGGAGGGTGTGGTCATGAGGGGGGCAGCTGATAGAGCTCCATGACCGTGGGGAGCTGAGGACCCCCAACAGGAGCCAAGACAATATTCCACTTCTTCCTTCACCCTCTCCGGGGAATCATCTCTCTTCAATTTAGCATTCCCAGGGACAAAGGCTAATAATTTGGGGTTAGAATGACAAAGACAACTTGTAGGAATAAACACACATTTTTGCATTTCAGATCTTTTGTACATGTAGCTGAGAAATTGCTCTGATCCAGTTACTTTTGCCTGTCTCCTGTTTCCCCCTTTTTTGAACAGTAGTGCGTACAGCAGTTATCTTGGGCTTGTCCCATCATGGTATGTTGGGTGTGTAAGGGGCAGATAATTTTTCACTCTGGTTTTGGGTCTTTAGTGGAGACTCCATAGAAGAGGACCTATACCATGGCACCTCACTGGTGTTTGGGCCTAGTTTAGATGAAAAGTTCCTGGAAGTTAAACTGCTGCCATAATGGAGTGAGATCCGGGGACCCTGGGGGAGAGCACAAGGGCATTTTGCATGTTGAAGGCTGTGAATTATTACAGCAGACTGTTTATAGCTGTGGCAGGGTGTATTTTCAAAAGATGCTTGTGACAGTCTCTCCCATCCACATGTTCTGTTTGCAGTGTGACCGCATGGCCCATCATCAAGAGGCAGAATCTTTGTCCTCCTTCCCTGAACCTGGCTGGTGTTTGCAACTGCTTCAGCAAGCAGAGTGTGGGTGAGTGGTTCTCTGAGCTTCTAAGACTAGGTCCTAAAGGTTGATACAGGTTCAGACTGGTTCTTCCCCTTTTAGGATGTTAGCTGTGGGGAAGCCCAGGCCAGGTGAAGAGGCTACATGTAGGTGTTTGGCCAATAGCCCTGGCATTGATCACCAGACATCTGAATGAGGAAGGCTTTCCTCTCCAGCTCCAGCCCCGCTCTTACTTTAACTGTGGGACAGAACCACTGAGCTGAGCCTGCCATCCTCCCAAGCCATAAGAGATAAAAACAGTAGTAGGAGGAGCAACAATGATAATAGTAGTAATAATAATAAATGTTTCATATCACAAAGTCTGGTGTTTTTTTTTTTTTTATGCAACAATAAATAATGGGAATGCTTTCTGTGAAGATCACAGAGGAGTCTTGACTGTCTACAGTCTTGAGATGAGCTTGGCCCATGGCTACTAAAACCCTTAAATATATTTCAAGAACAACAGTTTGGGTTGGAAGGAGGCTGCCCAGTGTGTGGAGTTAATTTAGGAAGGCAGTGTTGGCATCATCTTCAGAAGGTCTAGGCAGATATATGGGCCTGAGGATGACACCTGACCTTGACCCAGAGTCTTTCCATGGACAGGAAGTCACTATTCTCAGAGTCTGCATTTCCAGGGAGCTGCAAGAAAGCAGTGGAGGCTGGTGGAGGCCAAGGAACACCCTTTTGTTTGCAGTGGGGTGTGCTGTGCGACCAGTTTCTTGGTCCAGAATCGCCATGCCCAGACATCTGCCGAGTGGAGGTCTGCAGTTAAGTGGCTTCAATGAGCTGTTCTCTGGATAGTTCATTTATGAGGTGAGTATTTGGAAAGAACCTTTATTGAGATATAGATGTTGTGAAGGTCAGTTTCACCTGGGAATCTTTTCTGGCATAAGGGATGCAGAGCTTGCCCAAGCTGCCCTCTAAGACTTAGCGAAAGAGGCTTTTCTCTCTGGTTTCCTTGGAACTCAGGGCCAGTTTCAGAGAGTCAAGCTCTCAGTGACAATGCAGCCCCCGTTTATGGAAAACTTCCGGCGAACAGGGAGCTGTGCTAAGTGCATCCATGAACATCACAGCAGCTCTCTGGGGGGAACGTCAGGATGCTCATTTTACAAATGAAGAACTGAGGCCTCAGAGAGAAGGTGACTTGCAGAGGACACATAGCTGAAAGGGTTTCAATCCCTGTGGCTCAGTCTCAATGTAAAGTGTCCTATCTATTCTTGTCAATATACACAGATGGAAAGGGAGCCAGGGTGCAGGAGAGCATTGTTTAGTATATCAAAGGAGCATGGAAGTTAAGAAACAATTGGAAAAGAAACAATCTGAGCAAGAAACTAAAGCAGTATTGGATTATAAACCAAGTATAAATTAAGTATCAATGAGCTCATGCTGGTATGAATACATGACTGTATATAAAAATAAATGGACAGGGATCTCCCTGGAGGTCCAGTGGCTGAGAGTTGGCTTTGCAATGCAGGGGATGTGGGTTCAATCCCTGATTGGGGGACTGGGATCCCACATGCCTTGAAGCAACTGAACCCGCAGATGGCAACTGAGAGTCCATGTGTCACGGCGGAGGATCCTGCATGGTGCAATAAGGACTCAAGAGCTGCAGCTAAGACCCGATGCAGCCAAATAGATAAATCTATATATTTTTAAAATAGAGAAGAACAGACAAACCTTCTCACAGAACAATTCCAAATTATTTACACAGATACTCCACCCTGGCGGAGGTGGTACCTACCCCTACACCCTGTAAGTGTGGGCTGTATGTGTGACTTCCCTCTAGAGAGTGAAGCACGGAAAAGGGGAGAACATAGAGTCACTTCTCAGTGGAGAAATCTGACGAGTACGGCATCAGCCAGGTGATCAAGGTCAACACCAACTGTGATAAGTCTTGTGCATAGCATGCCCCTTTCAGATGATGCAATGAAAATGACATTTTACCTCTACAGTCTTCCTTTCAACAACCCATGGCCCCAGTCTAATTAAGAGAAAAACATCTAACCAATCACAATAGAGGGAATTTTACCAAATACCTGACCAACACTCCTCAAAACTGTCAAGGACGTCCAAACAAGGAAAGTCTGAGAAATAGTCACAGCAAGTGCTGCCTAAGGAAATACGATGAATAAAGGTGCTGTGGTGTCCTGGACAGGACCATGGCCTAGAAAAAGTCGTTAGGTAAAAACTAAGAAAATTTGAATCTACTGTGAACTTTAGTCAATGATAGTGTATCAGTATTGGTTCATTACTTGTATCAATTGCACCATGCTAGCATAAGATGTTTGGAGAAGGCAATGGCACCCCACTCCAGTACTCTGGCCTGGAAAATCCCAGGGATGGCGGAGACTGATGGGCTGCTGTCTGTGGGGTCGCATAGAGTCGGACATGACTGAAGTGACTTAGCAGCAGCAGCATAAGATGTTAATAATAAGGGAAACTGGGAACTCTGTATCATCTTCACCATTTTTTTCCCTTGTAAATCAAAGACTAACAAGAAAATTAAGTTAACTAAAAAGCAAAACAAGACACCATAACAGGTCAAGAAAGTAACTGCAGAAGAAAGTAAAGAAGTGAAAGTCTCTCAGTTGTGTCTGACTCTTTGCAACCCCATGGACTATACAGTCCATGGAATTCTCCAGGCCAGATTACTGGAGTGGGCAGCTTATCCCTTCTGCAGTGGATCTTCCCGACTCAGGAATCGAACTGGGGTCTCCTGAATTGCAGGTGGATTCTTTACCAACTGAGCTACCAGGGAATCCCACAGAAGAAGGTAAAAAGCTTTGTTTTTTAGTATTTGAAAGAATAATTTTATTTATTTATTTTTGGCTGTGCTGGGTCTTCATTGCTGCAGTGGCTTTTATTTATTTGCGGTGAACAGGGGTTGCTCTTTAGCTCCCTAGTTGTGGTGTGTGGGCTTCTCATTGCACTGGCATCTCTTGTTGTGAAGCACAGGCTCTAGGGTGTGCAGGCTTCAGTAGTTTGGCTCCCGGGCTCTTGAGCACAGGCTCAATTGTTGGGGCGCATGGGCTTAGTTTCTGCATGGCATGTGGGATCTTCCCCGATCAGGTATCGAATCCATGTCTCCTGCATTGGCAGGTGAATTCTTTACCACTGAGCCACCAGGGAAAGCCCACATGGAGAATAGTATTGAGATTCCTTAAAAAACTGAAGAGGGGGCTACCATATGAAATAGCAATCCCACTACTGGGCATATATCTGGAGAAAATTATAATTTGACAAAATACATACAGCACAGTGTTCACTGCAGCGCTATTTACAACAGCCAAGCAGCCAAGGCACGGTAGCCACCTATATGTCCATCGACAGATGAATCAATAAAGATGTGGTGTGTATACAGTAGAATATCACTCAGCCATAAAAAGAATGAAATAATGCCACGTTCAGCAACATGGATGGGCTGAGAGATTGTCATACTGAGTATAGTAAGTCAGACAGAGAAAAGACAAATATGATATCGCTACAAATATCCTCAGTCAAGATTCATTTGTGCGTCTGAGAGCTTCGTGTGGGCAGAGCCTGGGGTCAGGGGGCTGGCTCTGGGTCTTCCCCATCCTTGGGCTTGCAGGACTCACCTTGCCTCCATCCTGTAAAGGAGCTGGACCCCATGGGACCCTCCCCATATATGTTGCTTTAGGCTCTCTCTGAAATACCCAGATAGTAATATTTGATGCCAATATCCTGAATTGTTTTGCAGATGTGAAAACCCCCCACCAAATGAAAGATGTTAGCTAATTGATGACCATGAGCACAGCCACAGGCCTCCTGGAGCCTAGGAACTGATAATATTAAGCTCTAACATCACCCTGCTACCTCACCATCAGTCAGTGGCAGAATCCGTGTACAAGCTGATCACATACCCTGCAACCCCCCACCTTCCACCACCAGGTGATTTGCTGAAACCCTTCTGGGAGCTTGGGTTTTTTTTTTTTTTAAGGGCATGAACCACTGTCTCCTTGCATGGCCCTGCAGTAATCCTTTTTCTGCTCCAAACTCCAATGTTTTAATATGTTGGAGCACATGAACTAGTGCTAACAATCTCCTCTTGTGTCCATTTTCCTCTCTCTCGTCATCAGGTGCCTGGAGCTGCTGGCTTTTCCCTCCCAGGCAGGAGACCCCGAAGCTGCTCTGTCTCCCTCCCCTCTGTAGGCTGGGGAGGGCATCTTTCGATCCATGGATAAAGTCTCTCCTATCAAGATCAGTATCTTCCTGAACATTCCCAAAGGCCCTCTGAAGTAGAACTTAATGAGGATGGGCTTTGTCTTGGGTGGAGAGGTCTTCCGTATCCCTTAAAATTTCCATCGGTCTCCATCCATTGATTCAACCAATGCTGCTTGAGTTTCTCTCTTATGCCAGGTGTTAGAAAATATAATGGTAAAAAAAGACAGTTCCAACCCTTAAGGTGATTACATTCTGGTAGGGCAGAGGGTAAGTAAATGGATAATTCAAGACAATGCCATACATGTTACCTAGAAAAGGAAATGGCAACCCACTCCAATATTCTTGCCTGGAGAATACCATGGACAGAGGAGTCTGGCAGGCTATACTCCATGGGGTCACAAGAGTCTGACATGACTTAGTGACTAAAGAGAGAGAGAGGGTTTTGGGATGCAGCAGAATAGCCTGAAACCCAGTCTTGGCGGGTCAGGAAAGCTTCCTTGTGGAAGTTACAGCTGAGACCTATAGTGAAATTTCTCTGCCAAGGGGGCTGCCAGTCCAGACTTGAGTCTCCTTTCCCTGGAGCAAGCGCTAGAGAGAACTGGAGAGGATGAAGGTGCTCAGGCTTGGAGGAAATAGGAGGGAGGGAGAAAGCAGGAAAGGGAAGTGGATGGAGGGCGATGCATATCATCGGCACCAGGCCTTGGGTCAGCAGGGGACGAGTGACCCTGCTGGCTGGGCACTGAGCCCGTGTGCTGCTGGCTGGGCGCCTGCCCTTCCTTCGCCCCAGGGCCAGGCTGGGCTTCCAGGGGGCCTAAGTGACCCCAGCTGGAACCAGAGGGCTGCAGGGTCTGGAGTCATCAGCTCGGCCTTTGTCATCAGCTCCTTGGCAGGGTCATGATGGCAGAACGGCTTGTCCTGCCTCAGCTGGAACAAGATGGTGGGGGGCACGTGGTGGGGGGGGGGTTTGCCGACCTGCCAGCCCAGTTGCTCTTCTCCACTTTTCTTCCTGGATCTGATCAAGTGAGAATAAACACAGCAAACTTTTAGTCCAGCCTCCTGGGGCCTTGGTTTCAATCTACCCAGGGCATTTCTGAGCATCCTCCGCTGCTCTTTTTAGCCAGACCTTTGTTATGTTTGTGCAAGAAGAGGTTGAGGTTCTTTGAGGATCCGGTGGATACCCTGACCTCGGCTCTGGGGAATGTTCTGGAGGTGCTGAGCCAGAGTGCTGTGTGTCCTGTCAAAGCTCCATAGATGTTCAAGAGCTGAGGGCTTTCAGGGTTTAGAAGAGTGTTTGGGAACATCCAACCCAGCTCCCTTCCCTGAGGATTTCCAGCAGTGGCACCTCCTATAGTGACAAACTGGAACCATTTGGGAGTGCACTTTTAAGTTACACCTTTCAGTGATTCAGACCATCTCCTGGGTGTGTGGCGAGTCAGGGCGGTGGGAGGGGTGTGTGTGTAAGAGTGTGACCTAACCAGGCTGTGTAGGAGCAGACGCGTGTGACTGGAAACTGAATCCCCTGCCTGCATGCCTCTAATTAGGGTACGTCCTACCATGTGTGCTAAGTGGTATTCATTCTCACTGTTAGAGAACTCGATCATTAGGGGGATACCTGCCTCCCAGAATTTATTTCATTGGTTCTGGTTGGAGGGAGGAGCATAATCTTTGGAGTCAGACCATCGCAGATTTTTATCTCCCTTCTGCCACTGAATATACATGACCAACTTTAGGGACTGTCTTCCCCATGCGTGAAATGGGGATAGCAATGCCTGCTTCTCAGAGTTTCCGTGGGGTTTACGAATGTGAAGAGCTTATCCTAAGGCCTGACTGTCACTCAGTCTCTGCCCCTTTCTTCAGTCCTCCTGGACTCCAGAGAACTGAGTCCCTTCCCCATCCATGAGGCTGGGCTTGTGATGAGTGACATCGGCTCTCACATCCCTTCTGTTTTCCTTACAACAAATCAGTTCACTTTCGTTAAACACACAGAACAAGCAAACTGGGTGTACATTTGTCTGCTTGGGCTGCCATGCAAAGTGCCACAGACTGGGTGGCTTAAACAACAGAAATTTCCTTTCTCACAGTTCCAGGTGCTGGAAGTCCAAGATCAGGTGTCATCAGGATTGGTTCCTTCCAAAACCACTCTTCTTGGCTTGGAGATGGCCATCTTCCCCTGCATCCTCACATGGTTTTCCCTCTGCATGTTTCTGTGTCTGTAATCTCCTCTCCTTACAAGGACACGAGTCATATTGGACTAGGGCCCATTCTAATGACCTCACTTTAAATTAATTACCACTCTAGGGTATTTAGACTCTATCTCTAAATACAGTCACATTGGAAGGTATTAATGGTTAAGACTTTAACATATGAGTTGGGGAGGGGCGGGGGTTGTACAACTCAACCCATGACAAGATGTCACAGGAAAACCCAGGTGTTTAAGATAGTTGAGTGACAAGCTGAACATGGTTCATTTTTGTTTGTTCTTGAGTTTCCCTGTGGTCCTGTCCCAAGGGTCCCGCTGGGTGGAAGCTGTCCACCTGGGCCACTGCCGGGGCTCAGCCTTGAGTGGGCATCTCTGCTCTCTGGACTGGCCTCTTGTGGACTGTGTTTCTATCGCTGAAATGCCTTGCAGTGTTTTTTAGAGGTAATTCCAGCTTGTCAGCAGCCGCATTTCTTAATCAGCCACTCATTCATTTCTCTGAAGGCTCCTGACACTTCTGACTAGCTCCAGAGGGCCTAGTGTGGCACAGATAACTGTGAACTCACGAATCCAAGTGCTCTCACTCCCTGGGAGCCAGCCAGGAGTTCCAGCTCCTTCCATTATTCTTAGCCTTGAGATGGTGGGAGCAGGCGTGTCAAAGCCAGACTTAGGTTTTTGCAAGCATATTTTGGCCTCCCTGCCTCCCTATTTTTATTTCCTTCATATTTGGAAAGAGAAAATTCCCAGACATGGGCCTGGGAAGCAGGCTGTTCTCAGGTCAGCCGGTGCCCGGTGCCCCTTCTGGCCTCTGCTTGTGCCAGGGGAAGTGATGTGATGCTTCAGCTGTCTGCAAGGGGGTCCCCTCACCCCCGTCCCAGGAGCCGATGGTCACCCCACCCCCAGGGAAGGGTCTGTTTTCTTGCAGTCCTCGCTCCCTTCCAGATGAGTTGGGGCACAAAGATGTTCAGGCACCTGCCCAGGTGGAGGGAACGTCTAGACCTAGGTCTTGGGTCTTGTTCTATTGTTTCTATTGGAATCATGCTCCCGCTCATCAGACCTTGCAGACTAGCAGGCTGGTAGCTGCCAAGTTCATCCAGACTCTACCTCAGGAAAGTGGGCGATATTTAGCCCTATTGGCTGCCCCTGCTTCTTTTTTTTTCTGCACCACGTAGCTTGTGGAATCTTAATTCCCTGACCAGGGGTTGAACCTGGGTCCACAGCAGTGAAAGCTTACGTCTTAACCACTAGACTGCCAGGGAAGTCAGCCCCTGCCTTTTTTCCACCTGGCTGTGTGATCACTGACCTCAGCTGCTGGAGAGCAGACATACCCCTTCCCTCCTAGCCATGCAGCACCCAGAGGAAGGGCCCCTGCCCCGGTATGTCTCCTGCTGTGGTGAGCTCTGACCCAGTTGTATCAGACTCTTTGCCACCCCATGGACAGTAGCCCGCCAGGCTCCTCCGTCCATGGGATTCTTCAGGCAAGAATGTTGCAGTGGGTTGCCGTTTCCTCCTCCAGGGGATCTTCCTGACCTGGGGACTGAACCCATGTCGCTTGCTTTGGCAGGTGGATTCTTTACCACTTGCGCCACCTGGCCTGGAAGCAAAGCCTATGCTCCTCGCCTGGTTCGGGGTTGCCTAGGTGATGTCATCTGTGGGTGGGGGTGGGTCATTTATCTTTTTCACTGTCCAAAGACGGCTTTGGCGGCAGCGGCTGTTTGAATGAGGACTGACCCCCAGCTGGGAGAGTTCCTGTAACCCCCATCCATCAGCAAGAGGGCTTGGGTGTGAATGGGAAGGAAACAGCCCCAAACATTTATTTGGCTTTTACAAACATTTGTTTAACTTTTTTTTTTTCTCTCCTGCTGTGTCTTTTCTGGGGACAGGCAGTAATGATCTCTTGTTTTATCTCCTCTTCTTTGCAAGGGCGATGTGTTTGTAAGTGTGCAGTTATTTCATGAATCATAAGTATCAATGTTCTTTTTAGGAAAGAAGTCACTAAAATATCCACTCACCCCCACTCCAAGCAAATTTAGTGGAGTGAGCACTTTGTCTGGTTGGGGGGAGCTAGCAAGCCTGTACTTGGGACAGAGTAGGGGTCGGCAGTGGGAGACTGTGCCCTTCGGGAACTCTTTCAGATATGTCTGGTGGGAAAGTAAGGTCTCCTGAAATCATGGCTAGGGCCAGGTGGGTGAAGGATCTCAGGTGGGTATAGCCTGGAGAATCCAGAGGTTGCAAAAAGCATCTTCATTGTCTCAGGGGCCATCTTGTGACTGCCTCTGCCTGTGGTTCCAGCGGATGGAACTAGGATCAATCAATGGGTGGCTATGATGGTGTGGTCAATTGCTGCCCATTGGAAGGACTGACTGCTGGTGCAGAGGTATCCACTGTGGCTGAGAGCTGAGGAGGCCAGAGGCTGGCTGTTCCCTCTGCGGGAGTTATGTGCTGATGACCGATTGGCCGTCATAGCTCTGCCTCTGAGCTTCCCCCTGAGATACTGTGTTTAGCCTGGAGCACAGCAGCTGGAGGCCCTTCCTCCCTTCTTCCATTCCTTCTTTGTTGTTCTTCTTTGTTCCTTCCTTGCTCCCTTGGGGACAGGACTCTCTGAGACAGAGCTGCTGAAAGGCACAGTTGCCAGGTAGAATTGCTTTGTGCCCAGGGTCTCTGACTGTTTTCTGGAGTCTCCCATCCATGAAGATAGGCTTCGAGTCTGCCCGTAGCCCCCACCAGCAGCCCGTGGATCTGCTCTCCCTCACTGCAACACCCTGGGCTGTGACCTTCTCTCGGGGCTCTTGCTAAGGGATGGTAGCTGATCCAACAAACCCATCTGCCCTGCCTTCCAGGGGTTCTGAGCTTCCCTGGTAGCTCAGCTGTAAAGTATCTGCCTGCATGGCAGGAAACACAGGAGACGTGTGTTCGATTCTTGGGTTGGAAAGATCCCCTGCA